GTTGGGATCCAGCCTCTAAGTCTTCTTCCCAGGGTTTCCAGAAGAGTCTGAGGGAAAAGAATCCAAGCACACAGAGCTCTTTGGTCCATTCACTTTATTCTTCTCATACAAAATTCTGTCTCCACAGCTTCAGTTCTGTTCTCATACTTGGCTCCTCTCTGTCCCTTCTCCTCCTGTCCTCTCATAGTTCTAAGTTCTTTTCGTCCCGTTCTCATCTCCGTCCTCCTTCCTGTCTCTATCTTTGTTCCACTCCTCTTCTCATGACCCGTGTCCCTACACCCACGGTCAGCAATAATCCACCCTGCCACTTTCTGCTCGGCCGGGTAAGTCGGCCTGGAGCTAGGAAATCTGCTTTATGGCTTCACTGCACCTGGTCTCCAAAAACCATTTTCCTGAGTTCATTGTCTGAGGGAAATCTGGGGGTGCTACTAAGGCTGTGTAAGAAAGAGGGTCTGAGCTTTGCACAAGAAACAAAGCTATGTACCTAAGGTCCGCCTGACCTAGACGGTGTCTCCATATGGGTATTTACCTAGCACGTGGTCAGGAATGCTGTACTGTCTGTCATTTGGCCTTGGATTTGGGCTGAAGGAGCTGGCCCTGGCTTTGTGTGCTTGCTAAAGGAGAAAACTGCAGAAGGCAGACTTCTGAATTCTTTTTTTGTTTGTTTGTCTTTTGTTTTTTGTTTTTTTGTTTGTTTGTTTTTCAAGACAGGGTTTCTCTGTGTAGCTTTGTGCCTTTTCTGGATCTCACTCTGTAGCCCAGGCTGGCCTCGAACTCACAAAGATCCACCTGGCTCTGCCTCCTGAGTGCTGGGATCAAAGGCGTGCGCCACCACCGCCCAGCTCAGACTTCTGAATTCTAATGCTAAAAAGGAACAGAAAGTCTGAAAGCAGGAAGCCTTGCCTATGTGACTGTATCCAAATACCTTAGTTGTATGTGCCCAAGGAACAATCAACTGTTTAGAAGTTGATCCACACTGTTTAGAAGTTCTTGACATGAGAGCACACATGAAATTCATAGCAGAAAACAGCTGATAAATTAAAAGCCAAATACTCCTTGAGACTTGGCCTCCTCTGGGAGAATTCCTTGATTCTTCCAGGTAATGGTGTTGCCATAGTCAGCTGAATTCTTACTTCAGATTCCTGTGGCTTGCATCATGATTGGTTTAACAAAAAGCTGGACAGCCAATAGCTAGGCAGGAGGTATAGGCAGGACTTCAGGGCAGAGAGAGAACTCTGGAAAGAAGGTGAAATCGCCAGCCAGAAGCAGAGGAGAGGAGCGTGAGCAGCACAGAGAGATGAGGGAACAGTCACTTGACAGACTGCAGATTAATCGGAATGGGTTAATTTAAGTTATAGGAACTAGTTAGGGCCGGGCAGCGGTGGCGCACGCCTTTAATCCCAGCACTCAGGAGGCAGAGCCAGGCAGATCTCTGTGAGTTCGAGGCCAGCCTGGTCTACAGAGTGAGTTCCAGGACAGCCGGGGCTACACAAAGAAATCCATCCCAAAAAAACAAAATTAAAAAGCAAACAAACAAACGTTTTCAGAGGGTTAGTCTGAGAGCATCATGGTGGGGAACAGACAAGCATGGCGCTGGAGCAGTAGTAGCTGAGAACTTCACACCCTGATGCACAGGCAGCATGCAGAGGGAGAGACACTGGGCCTGCCGTGGGGGCTCCTGAAACCTCAGAGCCCACCCCAGTGACACACCCACTCCAGCAAAGCCACACCCCCAAGCCTTCCCAAACAGTTCCACTGACTAAGCATTCAAACATATGAACCTATGGAAGCTGTTCTTATTCAATCCACCGTACATCATTTGACCCTTTGGAGCCGAAATGATCCTGTCTGAGTCTGAGATGGTATGCATGGAGTTATGGGGTAGGGGCTACCCTGCTGGGTTCCTGTCTTCTTTGGTCTTATTATTCTTAGCCGCGACCCCATTTCTCCCTCCTGGAATAGGAATATTTCTGTGCCAATGTCTGTTGCAAATGTGTAGCTTAATTTTTTAAATTGTACTCACAGTTAAGAGATTACCTAGAGTTTAAGGTGTAAATTGTGAACTTTAAAAAAATTAAGCCGGGCGGTGGTGGCGCACGCCTGTAATCCCAGCACTCGGGAGGCAGAGGCAGGTGGATCTCTGTGAGTTCGAGGCCAGCCTGGGCTACCAAGTGAGTTTCAGGAAAGGCGCAAAGCTACACAGAGAAACCCTGTCTCGAAAAAAAAAAATTATTACTTTTATGTGTATGGGTGTTTGTGGTGGTTTGAGAGAAAATGGCCCCCAGAAGGTTTCAGGCACTATTAGGAAGTGTGACCTTGTTGGAATATGTGTGGGGATGGGCTTTGAGACCTCATACATGCTCAAGATACCACCCAGTGTCTCAGACCACTTCCGGTTGCCTGCAAGATATAGGACTCTCAGCTACCTCTCCAGCACCATGTCTGCCTGGACACTGCCATGTCCCACCATGATGATAATGGACTGAACCTGTAAAACTGTAAGCCACCACCTCAATTAAATGTTGTCTTTTATAAGAGTTGCTGTGGCCGGGCTGGTGGCACACGCCTTTAATCCCAGCACTTGGAAGGCAGAGCCAGGCGGATCTCTGTTAGTTCGAGGCTAGCCTGGGCTACAGAGTGAGATCCAGGACAGGCACCAAAACTACACAGAGAAACCCTGTCTCAAAAAAAAGGGGGGGGGGCATTTGCCGTTGTCATGGTGTCTCTTCACAACAATAGAAACCCTAAAACCATATTTAAAAATGTATGTCTATGCACCACATGAATGCAGTACCAACAGCCAGAAGAGGACATCAGACTCTCCTGGACTGGAGTTACGTTTTCGAGCCACCATGTGGTGCTGGGTTCTTAACCCAGTTCTCCGCAAAAGCAACAAATCCTCGTAACTACTGAGCCACCTCTCCTGCCTCTCCTGCACACACACATACCGCCATCTTTTTTTAGACAGGGTCTCATGTTGTCTAGAGTGGCCTTCGCTACCACAGAGATTGAGACCAGCTTGAGACACACGAGAATTTGCAAAATAAATTAAGACTGTAATAGTCAGGGCTGTGCAGATGTCTCAGGGCACAAAGCCCTTGTGCAAGCATAAAAACCTGAGTTCTGATTCCCACAAACACATAAAAGCAGGTGTGGCTGTCCACATCTGTAACCCCAGCACATCTGTAACCCCAGCACATCTGTAACCCCAGTGCTGACTGGGTGGAGACAGGAGAATTTCCGGGGCTCAGTGGACAGTCAGCCAGGTGAAACCAAGAGATTCAGATTCAGGGAGAGAGCAAAAAGTGAGGGTTGGGGATTTAGCTCAGTGGTAGAGCGCTTGCCTAGGAAGCGCAAGGCCCTGGGATCGATCCTCAGCTCAAAAAAAAGAGCAAAGAGTGAATAGGGGCCAGCAAGAAGGCTCAGTGGGTAAGAGGGTTTGCCGCACAGGTGAGAGGACCCAACTTTGAATCCCCGGCACCACGCATGCCCATGTGGCCCTCAACCCCAGTGCTGTGGGGATGGAGACTGGAGGATTGCTGTGGCTGCCGGCTTACTTTGCAGTGCAGAGAAAGACCATGTATAAAAGGAATAAGGCTGAGTGTGAGCGATCGGGACACCAATGCCCCTTTCTGCCCTCCATGCATGCACAAGTACACCTTCACAATGCACATGTGTGCGAGCATGCGTAGACACACAGAGTGGAGAACAAAAGAACAAACCACCCATGTTGATCTCTAGTCTTCACGTGCACACACATGCACACACATGCACACGCACGCACAAACGCACGTGAATGCGCATGCACCTACACATGAGCTGTCAATCAAGGGAATTGGGTGGGCCCTGGTGTCAATGTGAGGCTCCAGCTGGAGAATGATGCAATCAGCAGCCCTGAAGACAGGAACAGAGATCTGTCAATCAGATGTTAGCATCAAGGGAGCCATCTAGTCAGATCCTGGGACTGGGATTCCCTAGGCAGAGCCACTGCAGATGTATGTGAAGTTCCTCTTTTTTTTATGAGCATGGTGACTCAGGGAGGGATCCACAGCAGGACCCTTGGTAGTTTGTAGTTATTGCCCAGGTGGTGGTGGTGGTGGTGGTGGTGGTGGTGGTGGTGGCGGCGGCGGCGGCGGCGGCGGCACACACCTTTATTCCCAGCACTCAGGAGGCAAAGGCAGAAGGATCTCTGAGTTCAAGTCCAGCCTGGTCTACAGAGTGAGATGCAGGACAGCCAGAGATACAGAGAAACCCTGTCTCAAAAACAAAAAAGTTTACCTTCAGCAATACACGCACACTTCTACTTACAGAACAAAACCCAAAGTAAAAACTGACATAGGACAAAACAGGATGTTTATTCAATTTTTTTCTCAGAAACATAACAAGATATTACAGCCCTATGACTCTCTACTATGGCTGAGGCACTTGGAAAAGGAGAAGGGGGCTGGGTTCGGGCTGGAACTGCTGGCAGAATACACGTCTAGCACACAGGCAGGCCCTGGGTTTGATCCCCAGCACCCCCTAAATGAAGGAAGAAAAGAAAATGAAGGTTATGCCATATTAATAATAAAAAAGAGGAGCTAGAGAGATGGCCCAGAGGTAAAGGAGTTCACTGCTCTTATAGAGGACCTATATCATGTACCCACTTGCACAAACACACACACACAAACTGAAAAGAAAACAAGCCTTTCTTTAGAAATAGAGAAGGCCAGGTGTGTTTTGTGCACGTATGTGGGAGACAGAGGTTGGGGGACGGCTTGTCTAAAGCTTGAGTCTCTCTTGGGCAACACAGTGGGCTCCTCCCTCAGGGAGCTTGTGAGGGATGTCTGCCTCCTGAGGTCTCACAAAAGAGATGAGGGTCAGGCGGTGGTGGCGCACGCCTTTAATCCCAGCACTCGGGAGGCAGAGGCAGGAGGATCTCTGTGAGTTCGAGGCCAGCCTGGGCTACAGAGTGAGATCCAGGACAGGCACCAAAACTACACAGAGAAACCCTGCCTCGAAAAAAGAAGAAGAAGGAGGAGGAGGAGGAGGAGGAGGAGGAGGAGGAGGAGGAGGAGAAGAAGAAGGAGAAGAAAGAGAAGGAGAAGAAAAAAGAGAACAGATGAGGTCACACAGCCAGGGTTTTCCTGAGTCCTCCAAGTGATGTTTCTTCCCAGTGTGCTTTTCTCCACTCACCAGAAGACACTTTTCACACCCATGGTGATCTACCTGTGTGGGCTGAGCCCAAGACCCTGGGCTATGCGTGTCTGACACCCCATCACAGGGCCACACTCCAGCGGTGGCCTCCTAAGTGTTCTTTCTAGCATGAATTTTCCTGTGTCCTAGAAGGGCTGGGAGAGACATGAAGGCTTTCCCACACTGCTTGCATTCGTAGGGTCTCTCCCCGGTGTGTGTCCTCACGTGTGCACGGAGGGACGAGGAAGAGCGGTACGCTTTCCCGCACCTGCTGCACAGGTAGGGCCGCCCGTCCTTGTGGGATTTCATGTGCTTGTGAAAATACTGGGAGTGACTGAAGACTTTGTCACACAGCTCACAGGCATACGGCTTCTCGCTGCTGTGTGTCCTGACGTGCTCACGAAGCGAAGACCGGGAGGCCAAGGCCTTCCCGCACTGCGGGCACTCATAGGGCCTCTCGCCGGTGTGGGTCCCCACGTGGATGCGCAGGGAGGCGAAGAAGCCGAAGCTCCTCCCGCACTGCGCGCACGCGTACGGCCGCGCCCCGCTGTGCATCTTGAGGTGCGTCTGGAAGTAGGCCTCGCCGCTGAAGGTTTTCCCGCATTTCTCGCACAGGAGGGACTCGAGCCCGGCGTGCTTCCTCGAGTGCGCCCTCAAGGACGCGGGGTAGCGGAAGGCGCGGCCACACTCCTTGCACTCGTAGGGCTTCTCCTGGCTGTGCGACCTCCCGTGCTCCCTGAGGGAGGAGTAGCACGAGAAGCCCTTGCCGCAGCGCTGGCACACGTGCGGCCGCTCCCCGGTGTGCGTCCTCATGTGGTCGCGGAAGGACGACTGGCACGTGAAGGCTTTCCCACACTTGGGGCACGCGCGGAGGCCCTCTCCGTTGTGCAGCCTCATGTGTTCCCGGAAGTGGGAGGGGGACCGGAAGGCCTTCCCACACTCCTCACACCCGAAGGGCCGCTCCCCGGTGTGCGTCCTCATGTGCCGCTGGAGGTAGGAGTGGAAGCTGAAGGCCTTCCCACAGGTGTCACAGGCGTGACGCTTCTCGCCCTTGTGACTTCGCATGTGTCTCTTAAGGGCGCGGGGACAGGAGAACACAGTCCTGCATCGTTTACATTCCAGGATCTTTGTCCTGCTAGGACTCGGTTTGCTTTTCTCAGGTTTCTTCCTGGAGTCCGGACGCTTGCAGGCGCTCTCCTGGACTTCGGTGTCCGTCCCCGCGGGCTGGCACGAAGGACAACCCCCACAGCCCTCACAGGGAGGTGACGCGTGTCCGCCGGCGAGAGGCACTTTCTGGTTCTTGGAGGCTTTCTTGGACCTTGTGCCTGCACTCGGTCCGCCTGCATCTGGGACACTACAGGGCACAGCGGGAGCCTCGGCCTGGCTGGAGCCATCTTCATGTTCACAGGGTCTGTCCACTACCAAAGGACCGCCATTCAAAGCAGGAAGGACAGGTAAGGGGTCAGGAGGGACGACACATTGTTGCGGTAACACCGGCGTTACCGATACCTGTTCACCTGTTACCGATACCTGTTCACCAAGTCCGAGTGAGGGGCTGTGGATTAAAAAATAAGAGACAAGAGACAGCGGGTCATTCACCACGGCCGAATGCCAAATGCTGTTTACTAAAAGAGGGAGGAAACCTTAAATACAGTCTTACAGCACAATGGGAGAACCCCGGAGGACAGAAGTTCACTATTGATGTTTACAATCTTGCATCTAAGCTGTTAACGCCCATTATGCAGGATACACAAACAAGGAACTTCCCTTAAGCATTCAGAATGGTGGATACCAGCAGGGAATTATAGGGAGGTCATCTGATCAAGGTCGGCAAGCAGGCAACGGCTTTACTCAATATGGGAGGAGACCAGGGCCCTACAGGTCCCCACTTTTTACGTTAGCAATATGTTTTTAAGGTACGATGGCAGCGTTCTACTATAGCCTACCCTTGAGGATTATAAGGAATACCAGTCTTATTAACAATAGAAAAATCTTGGCAGAATTTTGAAAATCCCGTACTGCTGTAGGCGGGTCCATTATCAGTCTTTATGCATTTTGGCACTCCCATGTAAGCAAAAGCATGAAGACAATGATTCTTTACATCCTTAACCTTTTCCCCTGAATGGGCAGAAGCAAAAATTAGAGAAGAATATGTATCAATAGACACGTGGACATATTGTAATTTTCCAAAGGAAGCATGTGTGTGACGTCCATCTGTCACACATGATTAGGTAAAAGTCCTCAGGAATTAACTCATTAGCTCCCAAATGAGGAACAGGTAAAAATTCAACACAAATAGGGCATGATTTAACTATATGAATGGCTTGTTCCCGGGTTATACCCATATGATGATGAAGAGATCCAGCATTAAGATGATAACGTTGATGTAACTGAGTAGCCTTATCAAAGGCAGAACAGACTAATGTGTGCTGTGGGATGGTCTGTATGTCAAATTGCTCTGATTGGTCAATAAATAAAACACTGATTGGTCAGTGGCCAGGCAGGAAGTAGGTAGGACAAGGAGAAAGGAGAATTCTGGGAAGCAGAAGGCT